TTCAAATAAGCAATACGTGATGCTTATTAATTTATTTGGTCGCATGTGTCAGTAGACGACGCTTTAGTAGTTTATCTGATAAATTATTTAGCCAATAAGAGGTATTAACTTGATATACTTGTGAAGATTAATGCTAACGATCTGCAAGAGTTATACTGCAAATCTCAAAAATACGAGGTTCTTTTTTGTACATAGCAAAAAAAAAAAAGGTCATGAATTTACATGGGACCCACATTTTTTGAAAAAAAATAACATTAATTAGTGTGATTCTCATAGTCTATCTATACTAATCTGTGAATTAATGATGCTTACGGTTCCGTGGTCAAGGACTGATAGTTTGAAGTAGACTTTTAATTGTTCATGTAAGCAATAATTAAGTAGTTGGGTGCGCTCATGAAAATTGTGGCCAGAAACTCTTCGCCTTCTCGACTAGGCGGAGACTGGCCGAAACATCAACAAGAAGCAGTCAAAGAAGTGCAAACAATAGAATAACAAGCAGAAGAAAGACCAAAGACTAGTAAAAAGAAATTAAATCAGTACTTAATCATCACGTTAGTTGTCATATATATATTTATTTCATAGGGTTTCCTCTATGTTATTCCCTTAGTATTTAACATGTCAAAATTAGTTCGCCAAATCATTGAAATTGCTGGTGGTGTCTCCTGATGCTCATCTTATTTCAAAATCAATCCTCCAAATCATTGAAATTTCTTTTAGGGCCTGTTTGGTTATTTCCAAAAAAAATTGGAAATGAAAAACTCCCTCTTGAAATGATTTCAGCACATTTCAAGAGTTTTCCCAGTTTCTTTTTTTGTTTCGTAAAGAAAACTCCACATTTCACTGCCAAGTCACACAAACAGACAAAAAAGCCTCCATAGTAACAGTGCCTTGATTTCTATTTCTTATGTTTGTTTGAGAACAATAAAAAGGAAATGAGAAAACAGGGTATTAAATATTATGTTTTATTCCTCTTCACTATTCCAGCAGTGCTTTTACTAATTAATAATTCAAAGAATTGATATTTCCCAGTGTTTTCAGAGGTTTTTGTTGTGAAAACACATTTCTTGAAATTGTGATGTGTCATCTGTAGAATTGGCAGCAGAAGTAGATTTCTAGCTCAGGATTTAGGTTGACAGTGTGGCGGTCGACCGGTCCGGTCGACCGCTTTCGTGCACGTCACTTACTGTGCTTCAGGATTGGTGGCGGTCGACCGGACCGGTCGACCGAAGATGGTAGCGGTCGACCGACGCGGTCGACCGACGCTATCCTCTTGTTTCTAATAGTGAAAACTCCCCTCTCCTTGCCCCGTGGACGTAGGCATCTTGCCGAACCACGTAAAATTGGTGTTTGATTGTTTGTGCTATTGATTTGGTGTGTTGGTTTATCTTTTCTCGGCGATTGGTTTGGATTCTCGAGGCTCAACAAGTGGTATCAGAGCTCCGGGCAACGCTTGGGCTTTTTGGAGGTATAGATCAGTTGGGAAGTTCATCTAGAGCTTCGATTGGTAATAAAGGTGGGATCTTTGTGGTAAAGTTTCTATCTTTTTCAAGTTGGATCTATTTTCTTGTTTGTTCCGGATCTTTGTGGTAAAGTTTCTATCTTTTTCAAGTTGGATCTATTTTCTTGTTTGTTCCGCAATTGTTTGAGTGCTTTGAGATTATGGTCGAAAAGGATAAACATGGGGAGGGTTCTTCTAGTGTGAGGGCCATCCAAAGTTTGAATATACATTCTATGAAAATAGATGTGGAAAAGTTCAACGGCACAAATAATTTTGGACTTTGGAGATGTGAAGTCATGGATGCGCAAAATTTGGAAGATACATTGGAGTTGGACGGGAAACCGGACAACATGGATGAAAAGGTTTGGAATAAAATGAATAGAACGACGTGTGGTGTGATTAGGTCTTGCCTTACCCAAGACCTTAAATATGATGTGATGAATGAAACTTCGGCAAAGAAGATTTGGGAGGTCCTAGAGGGCAAATATTTGACAAAGAGCGTCAAAAATCGTTTGCATTTGAAGAGGAGACTTTATCGCTTCCAATTGAAGAAGAGGACATCCATTAGTGATCACATGAACCACTACACGAAGCTACTTGCAGATTTGGCGAACGTAGATGTCATTGTTGAAGATGAGGATACAGCATTGTTGTTATTGAGCTCCTTGCCCGACGAGGAATATGAAACCTTCGTCCTCACTCTTATTAATGGGAAGGCATCTCTTTCGTATAGTGAGGTCACCGCAGCCCTTGTGAACTATCAACTTCGAAAGAAGGACAAGGAGACTTCCATTGAGCCGGTTGCGGGGGCATTGGTTGCAAGAGCTAAAGGTCCAAACCGTGGAAGAAGGTCGCAGTCTAGAGGGGGGCATCCTGCAGTTGGTAGGAATCAGTGTGCCTTTTGTAGAGAGGATGGACATTGGAAAGCTGAATGCCCAAAATTGCAAGCCGGCTATTCAAGCTTCAGAGGTAAATGTTACCAAGGCTAGTGGCGATGTTTCAGATTCAGATTCTTCAGGCTATTCGTGCCCAGCTCTTCCGTCAGTTGATGTTGCCGACTCCACCGAGTGGATGTTGGATTCTGGTGCTACTTACCACATATGCCCTAGAAGGGATTGGTTCTCCAGCTTTCAGGAGTTGGAAAGAGGGGATGTTGTTCTCATGGGTAATGATCACAGATGCCTTATTGGTGGTATTGGTACTGTTCGGATTCGGATGAGTGACGGGATGATCCGGGAGTTGGCTGATGTGAGGTTCGTTCCTCAACTGAGGAAGAACATCATTTCACTTGGGATATTGGAGGCAGCATGCTATAGGGTGACTTTGGCGGATTCTCGCTTGAAGGTCACATCGGGGTCCATGATTATGATGAAGGGAGTCGGGCGGAGTAACTTGTATTATCTACTTGGGAGCACGGTAGTTGATAGGGCGCTGACTACTTCTATGGCTAGATTGTGGCATTGTTTGGTGCTGGGATATATTATTGGTTATACCATGCACAGATTGTTGAGGAGTGCTATGACCTGCAGATTGAAGTCCTGTAAGCACATTGGTATGAGCGAGAAGACCGAGGTGGAGTTCAGCACTTCTATCCATCGATCGAGAGGTCTTATTGGAGGTGTTCTGTGAGCACATTAGGATGAGCGAGAAGACCGAGGTGGAGTTCAGCACTTCTATCCACCGATCGAGGGGTTTTATTGGAGGTGTTCAGTCAGGCATTGGGGGGCTTTTCGAGGAGGCATCATCGGGAGGTAATCGTTATTTTGTTTCCTATGTTGGGGATTGTACTAGGCATATTTGGGTTATAACCAAGTCCCGTTGGTATAAAGCCCTAGTAGTCCGCAACAGTTGGAGGAGGTGTATGGGCAGAAAGGTTACCAGTTGTACTTGTTCTAGTAGGAGTCCTTTCTTGCATTGGTGCCGAGCTCATGGCAGTTGGAGACACTTCAGAGGAGAGGAGACAGTGGGGCGACGTGATGAGATGACGGATTCAGTGAGCCGTTCTTTTCTGGAGGAAGATCAGTATTGGTTGTCGAGCAGTGGATCTGGTATTCAGGCTTCGACATGTTTGGGTCATCTTATGAGGTTGCCGACTGCTGCGTATAGAGTTGTTAGATCTGATGGAGCTGCTTCAGATTTTGGTTGGCGTCGGATATTGGGCTACCCAGCACTTGGTCACATCGCTGATGTGAGATTGGATCCGATTACGCATTTGGGATTCAGGAGTTCATTCGGCTATCAGTGTGGAGTTTCTGAGTTTGGTCTGAGCAGGTTTGTCACTTTGGACTCTCGGCAGGTGGAGAGTATTGATCAGGTCAGAGGGATATCGCAGCGGGTGGAGGTTGATGCTACTCCACATTGGGTGGGGATTTCCCCACATACTCCAGGTCATTCTGCATTGGTTGGGATTCCAGCTGAGGTGACACAACGTGTGAGCCATTTATTTATGGGGGCAGATGATGAGGTGGTTGACTTGGATGCAGCTGGTGGATATTTTTTGGATACGGTCATTGTTTCACCTCAGGTGGAGGTGTTCGGATCGCTTCAGTTTGGGGTCGTTGATGATGCTATTAGCCGCAAGATGGATTGAGGGCCTTTGGAGGCCAAAGGTGAACTACGTGAAGGCTTGATTCCTCGGAGAGGATACGTAGGCAGTCAGTTTTCTGATGCAGCCGATTTGGTGAGTTTGGATGGCGGCTGGATGGAGGGCGGTCGACCGCGCCGGTCGACCGCGATGGATCGCGGTCGACCGTGCCGGTCGACCGCCGAAGCGGGTTGAGTCTGGGTCTGTTTTCCAGACCCGTTTCGTTTGGGTTTTCTATAAATACCCAAAGGGGTGTTTCTAGGGTTTGGAGGCTGAAGTTTGAGATCTGAAGGGAGAGTTTTATTGGGCTTCTATTGTTGGAGCAATTGGTGAGATCAAGAGTGAGTTGTTGTGGGTTTTTGGTGAGAGATTTGTAACCCTAGTTGTATCATCTTGTTTCTAATAGTGAAAACTCCCATCTCCTTGCCCCGTGGACGTAGGCATCTTGCCGAACCACGTAAAACTGGTGTTTGATTGTTTGTGCTATTGATTTGGTGTGTTGGTTTATCTTTTCTCGGCGATTGGTTTGGATTCTCGAGGCTCAACAGCATCCTACGTGGCACTTCATTTCCTGAAATTTAAAAACGAAACAAAAATGAGAAATGAAAAACTCTTGAAAACAAAAACACATGTGGCACTTGTTCATTTCTTGAAAGTTGAGGTGGCAACACATTTCCGATTTTTTTTTAGCAAACAAACAGACCCTTAGTTCAATTCTCCAGTACGTTATTTCAAATTAGTCCTTCTAGTTAAAAGCAGAAGTAATAAGTGGATGGTTAATTTGAAACAGTTTGTCAGAACTTGGGAACCTAATAGCATTTGTATCTTCTTGAGGGATTAATATGAAAAAAAACCCAATTTTTATAAACTTGTGCATATTTTACCACCAAGGTGCTCGCCACATGACTCTTCTCTCCTTCTGTTATTTATATATATGTATATAAAATAAAAGTTTCTTGAATAAAACATATGCTTAACTTCCTGTAGAATCTATCCCTACTTCTCAACTTAAAACTCCAACACCAAAAAGATATCAAAAATCAACTTCAATTCAGATGGCTGGGCTTCAGAGGTCAAGCGAAACATTCAGAAGATCAGGCTCCTCAGGATTAGTATGGGAGGACAGGTTCCTGTCCGATGAAATGAAACAACCAAAGAAGGCAGAAGAAGACGGAGAAGCCGAACGGCCGCTGCCAGAGCTGAGGCGCTCCGACCAGCCGTCGACGGCTCTCCGTCAACATGCTCGGCCGCTAGCCGCATCCAACGGCTGTTGGCGTCAGCGATATCGAGCAGGCCAAGTTTCGCCAGCGGTCGACCCTCCGTCGCCGAAACTCTCTGGTTGTGGGTTTTGTGGGATCTTTGGGAAGCAAGAGCCCGTGAAGAAGACCAAGGCCAAGACCAGGCGTGCTAAGCGCTGATGATTTCAACTTGGTTAGCCTTTTTTTTGCTCTTGTGTGTGTTCATATGCTTTGACGACAAAATTTATAGAGATCATGTGAATGGATATTGAGCTGTGAATTCTCGCTTCTTGTGGTCGATGTATAGAGATGAGATAGACAGATTTTGAGTTTGATGATTGTGAAAACTTCTTCATAAAATTGAAGCATGAAGATGCTTGTCATAACCCCCTCCCCCTTTTCCTCTGAGCCTATTGTTTTTAGCATGAAGCCATTTATG